TGCCAAGAGCGTACACAGACCGAGATATTCGAGTTTCAAGAAATTTACAGTTTGTTATGTCCCCATACTATGAAATTCCATCAAACTTTAGTTTTTTTTTGCCATGGTTGGATGGAATACGATAATTTACATAAGGAGAATCAATTTCACATATATGCAAAAGCAATTTGGCAGCAATTAGAGTTTTTTTGTTTATTACCCTTGTAGTTAAAAAAATTCTGCCTTAGACCTCGTCGAATTTGCTTTTTAATAGGCGTGATATTAGTTTTTCGTATGTAAATGATCGCGCTTCATCCAACCCTAACGAACAAAGAAAACTAAGTGTTCATGAAATTTTGTAGTATGAACACATAAGAAACTGTAAATTTCTTGAAACTCAAACATCTCGGTCTGTGTAAGCTCTTGGCAGCTCATATTTTTAACTAGTTGGTTTGATAGTGAAAGAATTCATTTGATCTGACTATGATCAATCTCCTTAGCTTACGGTACATGATCTTTTACTCCAAGCAGAGGTATGTTCAGATTTCCGAAAAAGGAAATTACAGAAATTTCCGAAGCTTCCATCAACTCGATAACTAGATAGCAAAGCAAATTAAAATTTTTTGGAACTATTGGAAAGTTTTGAAATTTTAGAATTTTCTGTAATTTCGGAAATTTCGCTACTTACGGAATTTTGAAAATTTCAGATATTTCAGAAATTATACAATTTTGGGAAGTATCAAACAATTTAGAACACAAGTGCTTGAAATTTCCAAAATTTCCTTTTTTGGAAGTTTGAACACTGCTGAGCTTGCCGTCGAGTTATTTAAAGTACAGTGTAAATTTTTTAATTGCTGAGTATTTTTTTCAAATTTCTGCTCTAGTCCAAGTCATGGATTTTTTTCTGGTTTTAGAAGTGATATCTATAGGCTAGGTACACATCAATTGCGCAAAGCATCTTATAAAAATTATGAGTGAATTTCTAGATTAGAATGCTCATTGTCTTTTGCTTGTTGACATTGAGGATAGTGACATGAAAATGATTGTTTCCTGTAAACGATGCTATTTACGTATCAGCAACAAATCAGAGATGAAACCTATCTGGATCTTTGACGACCAGTACCAGTACCGATCTATGATACAAACGATGTTTTTTGAAGGTTTGATAGTTTTTGGCAAAATGAATTAGAGGATATCAAAGACATGCAGCTTGATTTCTTTCGAGGGTGTGGGTGTGATGCAGGGCTGCCAGGTGAACAACTTAAAAATCAGAAATTGTTATCTTCAAAATCAGAAAAAAATCAGCAGTGTTCAAACTTCCGAAAAAGGAAATTTCAAGCGCTTGTGTTCTAAATTGTTTGGTACTTCCCAAAATTGTATAATTTCTGAATTTCTGAAATTTTCAAAATTCCGTAAGTAGCGAAATTTCCGAAATTACAGAAAATTCTAAAATTTCTAAACTTTACAATACTTCCAAAAAATTTTAATTTGCTTTGCTATGTAGCTATCGAGTTGATGGAAGTTTCGGAAATTTCTGTAATTTCCTTTTTCGGAAATCTGAACATACCTCGGGAAGCTCCATAAAAAAGAATTTCTTTTGTTACGAATGGAGAGCTCATGAACTCTTGTCCTCACAATCAATATAGAGTTAGTTTTCGATCAAACGCTCTGATTTTGTTCAATGGTGTATATACCAGTGCCTACACTTATGCACATTGACGACTAAAGGGTCAATAGTGATGGTGTACTAAAGTCATTCAAGTTGTAGTACACGATCATGTACGGTCGCCGTTATCTACTGTAGCTGAATGATGGACAGTAATTTACGATCCAGGCCAGTCAATCTTTAGACGTGTGAAGAAATGAATACTTAAAATGATCGAATTTTATTTCATATGCAAAATATCCACGCGTCCATCACCTTTGACATCAAATGATGTTGTTCCTTCTGCGCGACTGAGTGCTTTTAATTGATATTTTAATTCAACATGCGCAGCAGCGACCGGATTATCACTTGTGCCCACATTGCGCACAGACGTTATTTCAACGTTTGCATTGAATACATAACACCAGGCAACAGTTGTACGTGATGGAACTACGGTAATACCATCTAAATACGCTCCTCGTCCATTTAACGAGCCGCCGTAAAGAAATTCGAGATCATAATCAAATCGAAGAACACGTAAGCCTAAACGATTGTAAATCGTTAGAGTAGACGAACGAGAAACAGGCGAAGACGACCAAGATTGAAGATCTAATGAACTGTTGATGTTAGCAGGTAGAACGTTGCCATGTATAGTGTGAAGATCGACCGTCGCCGCACTAAACCATATAAGAGAGAAAACTTTTCTTCCACATTTATTTATTTTTGGGACCATTCAAGTATTATAATAAGCAACTTTACAGGGAGAGAATAAAAATATTATTATGCTAGATTACTTCGGAGAGGAAGTAGAGATTCACTCAGAAGCTATGCAATCGCTTGAGATCAGAATTCGTAAATGCGTCATAGGAAATTAGAGCGACATAATGCTAATTAGATCGATTCTAATAGAGAGAAGTTTATCTTAATATTTTGAAAAACAGAGTTACTCATTGATAATGGGCATGCACTGAAGATCTACAAAACTCTTCTATAGGCTTCGACTTCGATTGGGATTTCAGTT